TCCACCCATCTCTTAGTTGGATCCTACCAAAGGTCCATCCATTTTTTGTAGGATCTTAGTAGACGTCCATCCATTTCTAGTACAATCATATTCGAGTTCCATCCGTCGAGCCCCATCCATTCGTTCTAGGATCCTGTTCGAGAAGGCAGCCAGCGGCCTCGCCTCGCCAGCGCGCGAGCGATTGGCGAAAACAGGGCCGATATGATCCTTCCATGAGTTCCAATCGATTCTTTGGTTTGTTGTTTGTGTGAGTGTTGGTGCTGGATGCTGGCTGTTGGCCGCCTCCCCCTCGTGGCTGGGCAGGGGGTCGCGAGTCCGGTATCCGAATAGAAACGCCGCATTCGTGTGCCCTTGGGGGGAGGGGCACAAAGGCGTTGTCGCCTTGTTGTTGCCACTGTTGTTGACTTCTCATTTCAGAAGAATATTGTTGATCCCCCTGGTGCACATCTCAGTTTTTTCTATTGATGTGCCTTTCCTGGGCTCACGCCCTGATGCTTATCAGGGGAAGTCTTGAGCGTCAAGTTGCGCCCCTGGCCTCCGGATTACGGTAAAAATGGCTCCCGCCGGGTATCCCCCACAGTTGATTGAAACATGGCGATCTCGCGCGGGACTTCCTTTCAAGTCATGCAGGCATCACGCTCTCGCGTGGTTTTCTTTACAATGTATTCAAACGCAGCGCCCTCGACACTCAGGAGTCACGCTATCCTTGTGGATTTCCTCAACTTTGGAATCGCGCTATCGCTCGAGACTTATCTCGGGATCCATGCTGGACGCACGGTTCAGTAACCCGCTTGCCCGACTTGGCCGCCTGCGCCCGCTTTCCCGATCCGCCCGCTAGGGTCTACCCGCCCGATCTGCCCGTGTGGTTGTGCCTCGTGCTTTCTGCTCCCAGCACCCCTTCTGCTACTTTCTCTCGTGCTCCATCCTCTTCCCTCCCCCTTGTCCTTTTTCTTCCGTCCGTCCTCCCTTCATCTGTGTTACAGTGGCAGCGCTGAATGTGCGTGGCAGGTAGAAAGGTATACCCAGAATAGGGGTACGATCGAAGACGAAGAGGGCGGGTATCGGAGGTTTGGGATAAACGTGTTGAATGGCACGCGGGCAGATAATTGCGAACAGTCTTAAAATGATTGTTGTTGTTGTGGTCGTTGTTGTTGTTGTTGTCGTTGTCGTTGTTGTTTTTGTTGTTGTTTTGTTTTGTTTCGTTGTTGAACATTATTTATTCTAAAGAATAATTATTGTTGGGCCCCCTGGTGCGCGCCCCCCCTGCGCCGCCTAGGCCGCAGCTACATTTTCATCATTTTCGTGAGGAAGCCTCAGAAAAGAGGGTGTGTACAGGATCCGGTTGTTTTGTTGTAATCCGCTTTCCCTTGCAAAAAACAATAGAAAATGACATTTCTTGTTCTAATATAATCAAATTTCAAGAATCCCTTGCAAAAAATAAGGTAAAGTGGACATTCGCGCGCGCAAGACGAAATCCTTCCAAAACCTTAGTGTTCGCAGCGATTTTAACATAAAAACATCAAAAAACCAATGGTTTTTCAACAAAAAATGTCAAAATCTCATCCCGCGCGCTCTTGCGGATTCGTAGGAAACCCAACACTTTTTAAACATTTCTGTCAAACGGGCTTTTGCGAGCAACTTTTTCGAACTTCTGCGACAACGGTTGCGCACCTGCCAGGGCCATCATCCCTGTCAAATAATACCATGCGGGACACATTCGTTTTTTCTTCGCGCGCGCACGCCGTCGTCGTCGGCCGCGGGGCCCTGAATAGTAGCCACGGTCGTCCGCATGCCACGAAGTGAAGTGTCCGAACGTCATAGGGCGGGAAGCTGGGTGTGGGTGGTGGCGAAGAGTCGTTTGGAAATTTGGTAGAGCTTGAACCGGCCCCCCCACAAAGTGGGGGTATTGCCCGCCTCCTATGAAAACCCTGGCACTGGTGAGAACGGAGTGTCCCCACGTGCTAGTAATTGTTGTTGTTGTTGTTGTTGTTGTTGTTGTTGTTGTTGTTGTTGTTGTTGAAGTGGTATTTATAAGAAGGGCGATTGTTGACCCCCCTGCCTGGTAATCATTGTATTTGTCAATTCAAGTGCTACTCCTGGGGCTCACGCCGTGTTTTTTACCAGGAAGAGGGAGGTGTCGCCAAACTGTGCCCCTGGTCCTCGTTTTACAACAGCAGCGGCTCCCGCTTGACACGTTCTCGCAATTTATTCCCAAATCGCGCTTTTGCGCGTGATTTCCTCAGCATTATTAGTCTTAGTATCATTCATTAATCCATTCGTATTACGATGATGATTCTTATCATCAACCCTGATATTATTGAGATTATAGGTGTTGTTATTATGATTGCCATTTACTGTCAGGAATCGCGATCTCGCCTGGGAACTTCTCGCAGTGTATTCAGACGCCGCGCCCTCGACACTCAGGAGTCGAGGGAGTCACACTCTTGCTGTGGATATCCTCACGATTTATTCGGAAATCGCGCTATCGTTGGAGACTTCGTCGCGATTCATGCATGACGCACGCTTCAGCAACCCGCCTGCCCCTTGTCCCTTGCTTCACTCCGTCCTCTCTTCCCCCTGCCTTAGGGGCTGCGCGAAATACACGTTGCAGGTAAGAAAGATACACCCTAAGGGGGTATGATCGAGGACGAAGAGAGAGGGTATCGAGGGTTTGGGATATAAGTGTTGAATTGCACGCCAGTAGGTAACAGCGTTCAGTCTTAAACTGTTCGTGGTTTCTGTAGTTGGGGTTCCCCTGTATCCAAATGATGGGTTCTTGTTGTTACTCCGACCTCGCTAACTTCCTCATACCTCCCTCCTTCTCCGCCGCCTAATGCTACGGTATGATATACTATGGCATGCTATGCTATGTTATGTTATGTTATGTTACGTTACGTTATATTATATGATGTTCTGCACTTTCATGACAAGAGATGCTATGGTATACTATGGTATGTTATTGCACAATATGCCAATCCCCTTATCCGAAGGATGGGACTCTTGTTATACCCCAGATCCAGAGGTTGGGATTCTTGTTATTACTCCGATCGCGCCGACTCCTTCGCTCACTCCTCCTCATGCAGTGTTATGGTTTGGTATGCTGTAGCCTGCTAGCTTCCCGTATCCAAAGGCTGGGGTTCTTGTTATTACTCTGACCGCGCCAACTCCCTCATACACTTAACATGCACCCCCCTCCTCATGATATGTTATGCCATGTTATGCTATGCTAAACTATGTTACGACATATTATGACATGTCATGTTATGCTATGGTATGCTGTGTGATGATATGGCATGGTCGGATACGACATTACATGGTATATTAGGTTCTGAAATGGTATGTTATGCTATTGTAGGTTATACTACGCTATGCTCGTTCATGCTATGTTATGATGATGCTGGTGGTGATGATGATGGTGATAGTGGCTGTGGTGGTGGTGGTGGTGGCCATGATTATGATGCTGATACTGATGCTGATGATGCTGATGATGCTGATGATGGTGCTGATGATGATGATGATGATGATGCTGATGCTGTTGATGATGATGATGATGATGATGATGCTGATAGTGATAATGATGACGACGACGATGATGATGATGATGCTGATGATGATGATGATGAGGATGATGATGATGGTGATGATGATGATGATGATGATGATGATGATGATGATGATGATGATGATGCTGATGCTGATGATGATGATGATGATGATGATGATGATGATGATGATGATGATGATGATGATGATGATGATGAGGAGGACGAGGACGAGGATGGCGGAGGTAATTCTGAGGATGTCTCGAGCGAGGCGCTGGTTTCAGCATTCCCAGGGGGGAGACGTCTCGGGGTATCACACTCCTCTGTTCGCGCCAAAATGGCGGGGATGTGTTGAGGAGCTGTTGGCCTATTTTGGTGCCCGACATCCTCGGCTTTCGGAGCAGAATTTGAGGATGTCTCGAGCGAGGCGCTCATTTTCGCCTCCAAGGGGGGCCAGATTTTGCGGATGTCTCAATCGGTTTGCTTGTTTTGGTGGCCAGACTCGTGGGCACAGATCCTCCCTAGGATGCCACATCTGGCTCCAGAAGGCTCAAGGAGGCCCCAGGAGGTCACAGGAGGCATGGCATCAGGAGGCCACAGGAAGGCTCAGGAAACCACACGATGCCCGAAGAGGCTCCAGGAAGACCCAGGAAACTCCAGGAGGCTTCAGGAGGCTCAGGATGCTCCTGGAGGCCACAGGAGGCCACAGGAGGCCACAGGAGGCGACAGGAAGTGCCAGGAGGCACCAGGAGGCCCAGGAAGGCACCAGGAGGCCCCAAGAGGCCCCAGGAGCAGGAAGCTTCAGAAGGCCGCAGGGGTAACTCCAATCCCATGTGCTGACAACAACTGGTTGCGACAAGTGGGTACGTATGGCAAAGTCAGAGGACCGTAACCGCATGAAGGACGAGTTCGTAAAGACGTGAGCGGGCCTCGGCCCCCCGGCAGCTCCCTCGCGGAGCCGTGCGCCGGCTCCTGTTCCTGTTCTTGTTCGTGCTTCAAGGGCGCGATCCCTTAGTGCTTTACGTGTGTTCCTATGGATTGCCCTTCTCTTGTGGCTCTAATACGCAATGTTTTATGCGCGTCAATTCCTATACATATACTTGTCCTTGAGTTCTTGGGAGGCGGCAAAGACAGGTTTGGGAAGGGGGGGCCTCAAGCGCTGCTGTGGCTCGAGCAGCGGCGCAGGTGCAGGTGCCATGGCCTGGGCCCCAGGCGGCCTGGCCTACGCACGTATCGTGGGTGGCGTCGTTGGCAGGCAGCAGGGCGTCAACGTCGGGGGCCACGTGGTCGAGTGCCACGAGCAACACGTGTCGCTTGCGGTACGTGCGCTCGCTGTCCGAGCTGTGGGTGGCGCGGCGTACGAGGCGGCAGTGAACGACCGCAGCGGCGCCGAGGTGCATGTCGGCAACGTGATCGTGCTGCAGACAGGAGCCGCCTGAGAGATGGGCGGACGACTACATGCACGTCGGGGGCCGCGAGTTCGAGCAGGAGGCGCTGCAGAGCGGCCTGGTGGCGGCAGGGGGTGGCATCCACACCTCGACGGAGGACGTGGATGCAGCAGCGCCGCGCCTGCAGGAGCAGGGCGCGGCCGGCGCCGCCGCGGCCGCGGCCCCGGCGAGCTGGCGGGCCTTGCGAACTCGCGGCCCAGGCTCGGGCGCCGGGTTGCCTGGGTTAGAGCAACTCGTGGCGCGGGCTGCGCGGCGGCTCGGCAGGGCCGACCCCATTGGCGAGGGCGACAGCTCGTCCGACTCAGAGGCAGAGCCGGAGGTTCGCCCAGTCCGCGGGGGGGCGGCCGCAGGAGCGGCGGCGGCCCGCAGCGAGCGGCGGCGCCAGCTCTCCAGCAGCGACGAGGAAACGGCGCCGAGCAGGGCCGCGCAGTCTGGGGCGAGCAGCAGCGGTCTAGGTGGACCGGCGGCCCCCAGCGCGGCCGAGGCGGCGGCCAATCTCGACGCGAACGGGTTGCAGAGCTTGCTACAGCTGAGGATGCTCGAGGTGCTCGAGCGGCTCGAGACGGGCAAGAGAAGCAGCTCGTCGGGAGACGAGAACGAGACGGTCGGAGGCCTGGGCAGAGCGTGGGCAAGGCGGGCACGGCGGTGCGAGGCATGCGGCGCCTCCGGCAGAGGGTGCGCCGCCCCCCGCTCCGCGTCGTGAAGGCCTTCAGGAGCGAGGTGAAGCAGGCCCTCGCAGTGCAGCGCGGGATGGCCTGGACCTACTTGGACTACGGAGAGAGGCGCATCCCATGGGGCAAGCTCTACGACCTGAAGAAGACGTGCGCGATGCTGGTGGCCGTCCTAGAGCATGTGGATCAGGGGCTGTTCGACGAGGCGCACGGCCAGCTGGTGCAGATCATGAAGGCGCTGGAGCAGGTGGCCATCAACCAGGGCTCGTGGAAGGCGGCCTGGCCGCTCTCGGGTCTGGTCGACCCCTGCAGCCGGCGGGGCTCCGCGGGCGACGAGTTCGCGACGGGCGTGGTGGCGGCCTACATCACGGAGCTGGAGGCCCCCGAATCGAAGATCAAGCAGCGTGGCGGTGTCGTGGCGAGCCCCGAGAAGTCGGGCAACGGCCAGGGGGCCGATGCTGGAGCGGGGGCCCGCACGACGGGCGCCAAGTCCACCAACAAGAGGAATAAGAAGAAGAAGCCAAAGAAGGCGGCGTGAAGGAGCCGTCCCCTTCTCGCGCTGGCGCGCTCCTGGAGCGATGGGGATTCTGGCGCTGCGGCCAGTTCCTCATGGGCACGCCGGCATTGGCACCGCAATGCAACGCTGCAGTGCGAATATATCATGGGCAGTGGGTTCCCCATGCCGTTGCCCTTCGTGGGCGTGGCGGTGCGCGCGGCGCGGGAGCAGGAGGGCCCCCTTGGTCGGGATCAGTTCCGGTTGGCTGAGCGGGCTCGTCATCTCGCGAGCGTGCTCGTCTCCACCTTCTCTGTCTGGGAGCGTGGCTCCCCGAAGGTGGCGGCGTCCTACCCCGGCCTCCACTGGTCTCCTGCGCGGCGGGTGGCGGCGGGGAACATCTACCAGAATGTGTTCGAGTTCTGCCGCGCGGCTGGGCGTGATGCGCAACCGACGCGAGGAGTGGCGAGGCTGCAGAAGCTGGCCTCATAATCGAATTCCTCCCCATGTGAGTCGTGCGAGCGACGTCCTCGCCCAGATGTCGAGCCGGGGTGGGGCGTGCAAGTGGGGTAGCTGTCCGCAGACGCACTGGCGCGTGCGTTGGGGGGTCAGCCCGACCGCGTGAAGTTGAAGGGCCCAGGGCCCGGCTGCGACCCGGCTGACCACCTCGCGGGCAAGCAGCTCGCCGAGTGCGTCAGCTACATCGATCGCTGCCTGGCGCCACAGGCTTGGCCCTCGCCTCTGCCGATCGGGTGCCACCGCATCTCGATGGAGAACGAGCTGGTCCTGGCCGAGAACCTGCTCGCCCGCGGGGTGGGGGCCTTCGTCCCGGCCTCGGAGGTGCCCCGTGACAAGACTGGTCGCCCCTTGGCTTCCGGTTGGTTCGCGGTCGAGCACAGTGAGGCCTGGGGCCGTCTGATTCAAGATCGGCGCCTTCAGAATGCGACTGAGGAGCGCCTGGCATGGCTGCAGCTACCGTCGGGCGAGCAGTTGAAGCTGTTGAGGCTGAACTCGCCGCCCGAGCACGTCGGGGGCACCGTCTACGACTTGAAGACCTACTTCTACCTGGTGAAGAGGCCTCAGGGCACGGAGGCGCGGAACGTGGTGGGGCGACCGTGGCTAGGCCGCCAGCTTGGGAGGCAGGCCGCAGACCCCGACGCTTACAACTACGTGGCGCTCGCCGTCCGGGGCGTGGGCGGCGCCAATTCGTGTGGCATCTGTCAGGGGGCGAGCGTGGGCATCCCCAGGAAGGGCGGGTGCATGGCCCCGTCCGAGTCGCTGAATGCGCAGCTCACCGTGCCAGTGGGCAGAACGTGGAGGGGCAACTACCTCGACGACCACTTGACGGTGCAGGTGTTCTCGGACAGCGAGCGGGGCAAGCATCTCCGAGACGGCGATATCAACGAGCGGGCCAAGCATGCCTGGGAGGCTGCTGGGCTGCTCCGCTCGGTGGGGAAGCACGTCGTGGAGCAGCCCAGCTTTGTCGCCTGGGGCACCGAGGTGAGAGACCGGCCGGGGGAGGTCGGCAGCCCACTTTTCAAGGGGCGGATCCTAGCATCGTTGACTCTAGACATTCTGGAGAGCAAAAGGATCTCAAAGGAGATGTTCCGAATGCTCCCGGCTAATTACGTACGCCCTTTCAGTCATCGTCGTGAGTCGTTCAGTTGCTTCTATCGTTCTTGCTCTTGGTTGGAGAGCTTGACGAGTGAGCGAGACCTGGTGCTGATTCCTGCAGATATTCGAGACGAGCTGTTCGCCGCGTCCGCCCTCCTCTCGATGGGGGTGGCCCACGTTCGGTGGCCCGTGGGCACCGAGATCTCGGCGAGCGACGCGACCGAGGACTCTTATGGGTCCTGCTCTGCGAAGGTCCCGGGGAAGGTCTCCGGGGCGCTCCTCAGGATAGGGGCTCATAGAGGGGAACGCGTGAGGCTCGACTGGGGCGAGATAGACCAGGTGCTGGCCTCCAGTAGGATGTGCCGCCCCGTCGACGACGTGAACGAGGCTTTCGCTAGCCTTAACTGGAAGGTCGAGCGGGGAGGGAGGTTCGCAAAGCACAGCCACATCAACTTGCAAGAAATGAGGTCGCTGAAAGGCGAGATCAGACGACGTGGGTTCCAAGGTATCCAGAAGGTATCGAGGGGCTCCAAGGCTGGTTCTTCGAACAAGATCGGCGACTCGAGGTGCGGCTTCTCGGGGCAAGTTGGGGGCACCTTTTCGGGGGGTCGAGCGAGCGCAGGGGCTGCAGTCGTGTGCGGGGTGGGCAGCCGTGTGTGTGTGTGTGTGTGTGTGTGTGTGTGTGTGTGTGTGCTGGCGCGTTTGGGAAGGGACGCTCGTCTTCATTCAAGCTGAATGGTATTCTCCGATGAATGATGCCCTGCCTGCTGAGCACCCGTTGCCGCGTGGCTCTAGTCTGGATCGGGGCCCGCTTCAACCCAGCAGACGCCCCTTCGCGGTGTCGGCCACTGCCAGAGCCCGGGCCACCGCCGGCCTGGATCCAGGCCAGCGCCCGCGCCGCAAGCGCGGCGGCGGCCCGAGCGGCGGCCAAGCAGGCAGGAGGCTCGCTGCAGGCGCCCGCAGAGCGTCCGGGAGCAGCCGGCGTGGCCGCCGCGCCCGCTCGCGCCGTGGCGCAGGCTGCTCTCGGGCCGGAGGCTGAGGCGGGCGAGGCGCAGAGCTGCGCGTGCCCGGCCGAGCCAGCCGCAGGAGGCCCTTTGAGGCGTGGCCCGCTTCCATGGGCCGTGCCGAGAGGACAGGCTGGCCGCTGGATAAAGCGCGAGTGCTTTGCAGGCAGCGGCGCTGTGACGCGCGCCCGGGCTGCCGCGGGGGCGTGGGTCGAGGAGCCGCTGGGCGCCTACCCGCCCGCGGGGTGCAGGCCGGGCCGTGACCTGTTGCGGGCGACGAACGTGAGGCGGGAGCTGGGGCGGATCTGCGCCCATGATGTGCGGGTCGGCGCGTGGGCGACGCCTTGCGCTTCGTTCGGGCTGCTCTGCCAGAACTGCGGGCCAGGCGAGCGGACGGGCGCTCGGCCTCGAGGCGACGGCTCCCGGCCAGCGGAGCGCCGGGGCAGCGGCCTCGGCCGCGCGAGCGCTGCGGGCTGCACGGCGCTGGGAGAGGAAGGCGGCTTCTGGGTGGTGGGGAATCCCTGCCGGTCCTGGCTGTTCCGGCAGCTGGCCATGCAGCGGGTCATTTCCCGCGAGGGCGTCTACCTCGTCGAGTGCGACTTGTGCCAGTTCGGGCTCGGGCCGCCGGGCGACCCAGGGGCGAGGCGCAAGAAGAGCGCGTACTTGCTGGGCAACTTCCCCGAGCTGCAGCGGGCGGGGAGGCGCTGCCGGGGCAAGTGCAAGAACGTGCACCTGGAAGGGGCGGTCAAGCCTGACGGGCGCTGGCAGAGGCGAGCGGCGCTTGCGGCGTCTTATGCGCCCTAGTTCGCCGGGGCCCTCGCGTCCGCGCGGGCGGCCGCGGAGCGAAGGCTTCGCAGTGCGCCGATGCAAGTGGGGCCGCGGGGTGCCCGCTATCTTTGACAGCGCGCTGGGCTTCCCCGGCGATGGCCCTGGAGGCAGCCGCCCCCGGCGGCGGAACCTGCAGATCTCGCTGCGCGGGGGGGCCCGCGCGACCTGGCTGGTGAGGGCGGCGGAGGCGTTGTCCGCCCGCGGCCGCGGGCGCGGCTAGGGCAGTCTGGGCCGCTGGCTGCCGGGGGCTTCGAAAGGGCGGGTGGTCGAGCGATTCATCGAGTTTGTGCAGTTTTTGTTTGACGAGCGACGGCCGATTGGAGAGGCCAGGTGCGCAGTGCTGGCGGCGCAGCAGCGCCGGCCAGAACTGAGAGGGCAGCTCGGCGGAGCCTGGGACTCGGTGCGGTCCTGGGCGTTCGGCGAGGACTCCCAGACTAGAACGCCCATCCCGAGGGAGATCCAGCGCGCGCTGCGGCGATGGGCACTTGCCAAGGCGCTGCTCCTCTCTCGTCGGCCCTGCTTGGCGCTGCTGGAGTGCTGTATCTTCGTGCGCGTGGCCATGGATGGGTTTTTGAAGCCAGGCGAGGGGGCGAACTTGAGGGGCCTGCGCGTTCGCTTCAATCGTCGCTGGGCCCCTGACCAGGCAGTTCTTGTACTTGAGGGTCCGAAAAACAAAGCCTTCTTGGGGAAAAAGACACACCGTACTACTGACGAGGCCCTCCACAGTGGCCTGGCTGAGGTGGTGGATGTATCGTGTGGGGCCCGAGGACGTGGTCTTTTCTCCCCGGGCTACTCGGGCCTCCGCCAGACGCGTTGGCCTGGTCAACCAGCTGGCGACGCCCCAGTCAAGGAAACAATTCACGTGATCGCAGTGCCCCCCGCGCACGGTCCAAACTGTTGCCGCTAAGTATATGTTGTGCTCTTTTTTTGTGAAGGGGGGTTGGCATGGTTCCTGGTCGGCCGCTGGCCGAGTGGGGGACGAGGTATTTCCTCATCAGGAGCGGTGGCCGACTACTCCCTCAATGTGAACAAGGGGGTCTGACTAGCGAACTTTTAAAACCAGGGCTCATTTCGATTCCTCCGATTCGATTCGATTTCGATGTCTTCCGATTCCGACTAGACTCGAGGCCGGAGTTCGATTCGATTTCGATGTCTTCCGATTTCTCAGATGAGGCCTACTAGCCTGCCGATTTTTCCCGCCAGTTCGACTCATCCCGACTCGGCTGCCGATTTCCGCCGATCCGATTCATGTCGATCGCCGATCGGACTGATCGATCCGATTCTGGGCTCTCCTTCAAATGCACCTACACCCAGAGGGCTGGCTGATGAGATGTCGAACGCCGATCGTCGCAGAGGTGGCGCGGTCCCGACTTGCCGCGCGTGACAATGCAGTCGGTGCGACTTGTGCTATCCCGCGTGGTCAATGTGTCGCCCGCCTGGTCCTCGTAGTGTGCACAGGCGTGGCTGCAAGCTGCTTCGGCCAGGCACGTGAGGGCCCGCGAGGGCCACAAGTGGCTTCCAGTGGGCAGGGCGCTGGGCACGCTGGACTCTGGGGTTGTCGCCATCGCACGCCCACTTCGTGCTCTTTCGCCTGCCATT